GCCTCCGGGCCTCGCGCCCTGGGCAGGCTCTCCCCTGCGGACGGGAGAAGGCGCCGTCCCGGACCCGCGCCTCACGCCCCTGTCGGTCGGACTCTCCCCGGGCTTGTGCGGCACCAAACTAGAGCGAAGCTTGGCTAGAGAGGAGCCGAGAAGCCGGGTGCCTGTTCGTGCGTAAATTCACCATTTGTAGCGAGGAGTCCGCCTCCCACCGAGCCGTTCGGGGGGTGTGTGTACCTTTGTGTGTTCTTTTTCACCTTTTGGGCGGTGGGGGTTGGGGGTGGGGTGTCGGTGGCGTGGTAGCCCCTAAACTAGGACTTTTCCTCCCCACAGGAGTAGAAATGACGAAAAACCAAAACAAATGTTTTTTTGCTTTTACCTATGACAAATTCAAAACTACTGTTTTGTTTCTTCCTTTCTCCAGTTTGTTGCTCTGGTTGTCAGATGTCGGAAGGCAACAGGACAGAATATACTCTCCGTGTTTTTTTGTGTGTGTTTTTTTGATATCCGTTCTGGGGTTCTGTGATGAAAAGTGAACTTTGGTTCCTGTGACTCGTGCCTGTTGTCGATAGAGTTGAGCTTTGCATTGAGGGATAAATAAAAGCACCGCCTCCCACCTGGACATAAATGGATCTGAAGACAGCCGTGTTTAACGCGGCTCGCGATGGCAAACTCCGGCTTCTCACCAAGTTGTTGGCCAGCAAATCCAAAGAGGAGATTTCCTCCCTGATCTCTGAGAAAACGAATGGGGCCACGCCGCTCCTGATGGCGGCCAGGTATGGGCACCTGGACATGGTGGAGTTCCTCCTGGAGCAGTGCAGCGCCTCCATAGAAATCGGGGGCTCGGTCAATTTTGACGGTGAAACCATCGAGGGGGCTCCCCCTTTGTGGGCCGCTTCTGCAGCAGGACATCTGAAGGTGGTCCAGTCTCTGTTAAATCATGGAGCATCTGTGAACAACACGACTTTGACCAATTCAACTCCTCTAAGAGCTGCCTGCTTCGATGGCCACTTGGAAATAGTGAAGTACCTTGTAGAACACAAAGCTGATTTGGAAGTGTCAAACCGGCATGGGCATACCTGCTTGATGATTTCATGTTACAAAGGACACAAAGAGATTGCGCAGTATTTACTTGAAAAGTTTTTGTTCACCACTTATTTTCTGGAAGTTTGGTACATAAATATAAGCAGTGATGTTGAGTAAGTCAACACTGACTTGTTTTGATTAGGTATCCCTTCCAGTATAACCTTGTTGATATTTGATAGCATTGAACAAGTGTAATAGAAAGACCTCTGTTACTATGTTAAGCAGCATTTTCTGTCTCTTTTTCGAATAACTCCTAATTGCTGGAAAATGGGTTCTTCAAAGTTACAGAGCATGTTAATGGCAGTTGGATCTGAGCCATTAGCTTGTACTTCATCTTCCTCAGAATATACTTCAATGTATTATGTTTTTCTTAGCTTTAATTTTTGTAGAACACTCTTGGAGTAAAAACTATATTTAGTGAGTCATCTTGTTTATCTCAGGTCGGCATTTCTTTTGTTATTCTGTCAGGGAAGGCTAGAGCAAACTGACCTAGAAGGATAAATATCACTGGAAAAGGAGAAAAATCTGTTCCCTTATTCCCTATTTATTGTTTGGCCAAATTTTTTTAAAATAAAGAATATGTATTAAATATAGCAAGAAAGAAAACAGATTTTTTTAAACTGCTAACAATACTGAGAGCAAAACAAGGATTAGGTTAAACAAATGTGGATTTGTTGGCTAGCAACAATGTAAATAACCTTTGTCCACAGAAGTTAAGGTTTACAATGGAGTATAATTTCCAGCGATTGTAATAAACTTAAAACAGCAAATGATAGTTTAGAATTTTTTTAAATTCTTAAAAAACAACTGTCCTGATACTACAATTTTTATACTTGAAGACCTATTTTTCTTAAACGTCTATTTATGTAGCAGCAAAATAATTCACTAATGAAAAAAAACTATTAAAACTTAAAAGTAGCATACATACATGGTAAAAAAATATTCAAACAACACAAATTGGTTTACAGTGTTTATAGTGAAAATTAAGTCCTATCACCCCTGATTTCTAGACCTCCAACTCACCCGTAACCACTATTTGCTGTTTTTGTGTGTGTGTCCTAGAGATAGTCTATGCTAATACAAGGATATGCCTCTATATCAATCTCACCTTTCCTCTGTTAGTTGATACATACTGTTTTTTTAAAAAAAAAATCCAATTTATCTTGGATGTCATTCAACTCCAACACACATAGCTACCTCAGTCTGATTCATAGCTACACAGTACTTCATTGTATATAATTTATTTATCTATTCTCTATTGATGGACAGTTCTGTCACATCCAATACAAACAATGCTGCTTAAATATTCTTGAACAAAAGTGTTGCACATTGTGTGAAAGTACCTGTATTATAAATACTTAGAGGTGGAATTGCTGAATCAAAGTATATGTGCATTTATCACTGATTGCCTTTCAGACACACTAAACTACACAGTTATGGGGCATATAGTTACTGGATATATTTATTGAAGTTAGTATCATCTTTTAAAAAAAGATTTGTTATTAAAGTGAATCAGACTCATTGTGATTTTTCTGAAAATGTTCTTCCCAGAGGAAATATAAAAATATCACAAAATCCAGACATTTAGAGTTAATTCTTCCAAGATGTTTCTGAATTTTGTGAATAGATATATTACGCAGTTTTATTTTATGTCCTCTTCTATAGTCTGTTTTTAGCTTACTAGATGTTATCTTTAATACCATTAATTATAGCTCTTTAATTTCAATAGCTGCATACTCTAATGAAATTTTATGTTGCTTCTAGCTTTTCAGTATGATACACATGTTTCTGTTAGCATTCCTATATATGTTTGCAACTGTTCTTGATTATCTTTGAGATAGGTTGTTAGGTCAGAGGACAGCATGACTTTTTAAACACTCATCATTTTTTTAAAAACACTTATTTTTAATAGAACAAATTGCTGCTTAGAGACCATATTCATACTAGGAATGCTTTGAAATCATAACTAAAAGAGGGTTAAAAGGTGTGGCTGCTTGTTTAGGCTTGTTGGATTTTTTGTTTCTTTGTTTTGGGTTTTTTATTTATCAGCCTAATGATGAACAGATTGTTAATGAGTTCATATATTTAAGTAAAATTGGCGTATGTTTTAAACTCATATATTATTGGAGAGATGAGTACTGGCACTATTTTCCTTGTGTTTTTTCAAAGCTGCTTTATATACTCCTAGAAATAGAATATTTGAGAGAACTATATTGTAAATAGCTCATTATTTTGTGAGCATTTTCCTTAATAAACTCTGAACAGTATTTAACTTGATTACCTTTGCTATTTTAGAAGAATATTCCTTTCTAATCACTATCTTATAGCTGTGTATATCCTTCCTCTTTTGGCCAATGATCTGCTTAGTCTAGAGTCATTTTTCCACCAGTGTCAGTATCATATCTTTATGTCTCTAAAAAATATACATAGCCCCAATTTTATATACATACATATATACACATACATATATGTGTATTTTATATATACAGGGTGTCCCAAAAATGTATATGCACTTTGTTTTTTCTTTTTGGTTTTTTTTTAATTAAATCTTTATT